ACCATCAGAACCCCCCCCCAGCCGGGCTGCAGCCTGCGCCTGCCCTGGCACAAAGCATGTAAATTGCTGTGGGGTTTGACCTGCAGAAAATAACAGGTCTGTCTGCAGGAGGGAACTCGCCCCAGGCAGTTAAGGTCGCAGGCAGCGTTCCCACCAGGAAAAACTACAGAGGCGCCCAGCCACCAAACCCTGCTCAGCGCGCAGCCTGCCTGCCCACGTCTCCTCTCTGTCCCCATGAGAGCCCCCGCATGTGCCTGAGTCCCTCCCCGGGACGGAGCATCCAGGATGACAGCCCCTCCGTGCTCCAAGGAGCAGTCTTGACACACACTGTCTCTCCACGCCGACACTCCTCTCCAGGGAACTGGCTTTCAAGGGCATCAGTGGATCCAGGTCCAGTAACCGGGTCTCAGGGCCTGGGAGCAGAAGGGAGCCCCAGGCTGGACCACGCCCCTGACCAGCAGAGCAAGACTCCTGGGATGGAAGTGTGCCCAGGAGTGGGCTCTCTGGGGATGGGCACCTTTCCCAGCAACCTCAGAAGAGGATGGAGCTGTCRGTCTGGGATAAAAGCTCTGCTGCTCCCTACCAGAAGGACTCCCTGCAGKAAGGCTGCAGTGACAATGACAACAGCCTCCACCATGTGCCAGGCACAATACCGAACACGTGAAATCCAGGGGCTGCCTGAACCCCCTCAAGGCACAATCATGTTGTAATTTTAAAGCTTAGAAAAGTGAAACACAGAGAGGTCAATACACCTGTTTAGGTTCACACAGAACTGGGACAGAACCAGTCACGTCCCTAACCACCCAGAGGGCCACTGAGCTGGAAGCTGGAGAAGCAGGGGTCTGAGCTGAGGTCGAGGTCCAAATGGCATAACCTCCATAATGTGGGTCTGTCCCCGTGCATGCCCGCAGTGCCTCACTTATAGAGATGCAGTGATCTTCCTCTGCGCTGAACGGCCTTCATGGTGAGGCTTTGAGGAAGTGACCCCTGGCTCACAGTCACCTGCCAAGGACTCGAACCTGGTTCTAAGCCAAAGCAAGTCTCAGCAAGGCTCCRGCAGACTCCCAAGTCCACATGTCATAATAATTTCACACTCTGCACCATGTCACCTTGAGTTCCAGCAACGTCCCTGCTGGGGTGCGGGGGGCTGCTAGGTCCATTTTCAGGCAGGGAAACTGAGGCCCAGAGAAGCTGTACCTTCTTTTTTCTTTCTTTTTTTTTTTTTTTTGGTACCAGGGCACTTAACCACCAAGTCACACCCCAGCCCTCTGCATTGTTCCTAAAGCTGGCCTTGAACCTGGGATCCTCCTGCCTCAGCCTCCTGAGTGGCCAGGGTTACAGGCCTGTGCCACTGAGCCTGGGAAGCTGTGACTTCGAGGAAGTGTCCCCTTGCTCACAGTCACCGGTCAAGGACTTGAACCTGGTTCTGAGTCGACCTCTGAGTGAGGCTTATGCAGACCTGCATCTCCAGCGCCCTTCCCCTTCCCCCTCGGAGGCCCTGAGGGTGCAGGAGGGAGACACCATGGGGAGGAGGAGGCCCGGGGAGAGAGGGGGTCTGAGATGCTGTGGAGGTGGCCTTACGGCTCCTCTGGGCTCGTTGTGGAGTTAAAGGGGCCCCGAGTCTGGGAGCCATTCCCTGGCTCTTCAAGGGGCTGAGCGGGGCTGGACAGTAGCCTGTCACCCAGCCCCACCGCGGCTGCCTCGGGGCCTGTGCACTGTGCTGGGAGCTCTGCCAGCTCCTTGGGCCTCGGCTCCTATCTCTGCTGCCCGGAGCCGCCAAGTCCACCCACCAACTACCTAGGCCAGCACCAGCCACGGAGCCCGGTGCCCAGCACCACGCCAGCCTCCCTCCCACAGCAGAGATCAGGCTACTAGGGACAGGGGGTGAGTCCTGCCCGTGTCCGACTCTCCCAGAGGTAAGGGGCACAGGAAGAAGGGCTTCTGAGTGGCTAGAAGTTACCTCTTGCCTCAGTTTACCCATCTGTCCAATGGAAGAACGGTAAAGGCCATCATTTCTGCAGGCCAGGGACACTTCTGAACGCTTTCCTGTCTTAACGCCCCTAGTGACCACAGCAGCCCCCTGAAGAGGAGGCTCTTAGCTACAGTTTACAGGTGAGGAAACCGAAGCATCAGCCACGTCCACACCCCCAGAGAACAAAGCCAAGATCCTCCCAGGCTTTGCTCTCTTTCTAGGTCCCCAGGCCCAAGAGAAATAGGGRCGTGGCAGGGGCCAGAGTGGGATTCAAGACGGGGACACAGCGTCTGGCCCTAGCACAGTGCCTGGCCTGGCTGAGGAAAGGGACAGAAGAGCACAGCAGCTGAGAACTCAGACTCCAACCCCAACGACCCTCACGGGGCAAGCCTCCTTGCCCCAAGATCCTCCTCTCAAAGGGGCACAGGTGCCACGTCCGGAGCCCAGCACCAGGCAGGGGCTGCCACAGGAACCTGGGGACTTTCCCACTCAGGCTGAGCCCCGGGGAACCCTGGAGAGTTAGGGGCATAGAGTCTGGGAAGGTGTCTGGGCCCAGACCCTGCCAGGACAGGCCAGCAGAGAAGAGACCCCGTCCCCAGCACCTCCCTCGCCCTTGGCCCCTGGCTCTGGCAGCCCAGGCCTGGCTCCAGAATGGGCAGGGCTCCCCCAGGGTCCCTGAGAGCTCCAGTGGGGCATGAGCTGGAGCAGCACCAAGCTCTCAGCTGACCTCGGGGGGAGCAGGGCCGAGGCTGAGGCCAGCGCCCGCCCTGGCTGTTGAGAGGCCCCTTTGTGCCAGCCCTGCCCCACCCCCCACTTGCCATCTGCCAGGTTCCTGGAGTCTGCTCCCCCTCRGCCGCTGGTTTGCTCACATGATGCCCCCATCTGCTGTGAGTCAGAAGGCGGGGTCCACAGGGCCACCCCAAGGATGGGGATGGGGGAGGGGACCCTGCCTAGGGCCCTGGTTGGGAAGAGGAGGCAGCGTGGGGCTTGGACTGTGGGGCCACCTTATCCCATCCTCCCGCCCCCTCCCCACCCACTGCTTTCTCCCTGCCTCCCAAGACCCTGCCCCGCACCCCTGCGACCTGGAAGCCATCCCATAGCCCCGACATGGGCACAGCACCCAGCACCCAGCACCCACGCTCGGCTTTCACCCAGGATACAGTGACCCCCACCGTGGCTCCTTCCCCTGCCCGTTCCCCGCTCCTGTCATGCCGGGTCCTGCTAAGAGGGCCATCCCTTGATACGTGGACCCTGCCACAGCTGGGCCACCTCCACCCCTTTCCCTGACATCCAGGCCCAGGCCACTGTGCAAGCCTGTCACCCATCCCACTGGATGGCAGCCTCAGTCCCCCCTGACCCAGCTGCCGGCCACCCTGCCCAGCCCTCCCGCCTCCTTCCCCTGCAGAGCAGACCAGGACCTGCCCCCTGGGCAGCGAGTGCCTTCAAGTGGCCCGTGCCCCATCTCCAGTGCCATCTCCCTCCCCACACMCTCTGGCTCTCTTCATTCCCCAAACCTTTGCTCCACGCCAGTCCCTCTGCCAGGAACACCCCCACGCAGCCACAGCCCCCGCTGCCCTCTCCCTCGGGGCACCCGAGCCCAGCCAGGCCTTCCCAGAGCACCGTGCTCCCGGCAGAGGCCTCCCCTCACGCCAGGCTCGCCTCCCTGTCTTCTGTGACCCTGCTGGGGGGTGTGTGTCAGCCTGGCTGCCCACTGCCCAGAGCACAGGTTCCCCACACAGACCAACCTGGAGCCCGACTTCTGTCCCTGCTCTAAGGCACACCCTGGACCCACGGGCAGGACACCTCGGATCACCCCACACACCCACTTAGTAGCTAGGGCCACCAAGCCCAGGGGACCAGTAGGAAAGGTGTCCATGGTGGTGTTTAGACCAAGGTGAGGCTACATCCCAGGCCCCTGGGTCCCTGCTGCACAGGAGGCCAGGTCAGGCAGGGAAGGGACAGCCACCCACAGGACTGCTGGCCTGGGCTCCCACTGACCAGCACCGCTGCTCCTCCCAGTCTGGACCCCAAGAACCAACCCTCTGCTCTCGGGGACCTGCGGAGGCGCAGGGCTGGGCGGCCCAGGAGTTCCAAGAGACCTTCTTTGCCTCATCTACCCCCGTGTCCCCAGGATAGCCCAGCGCACACAGAAGGCACTCAATAAATGTTCACATAAACAACTTCCATGGCTTCTGAAGGGGGTGCTAAGGCTATTCCTACCCACCCCACCAACCTCAGGCCACGGCGGCTCCAGGTGGGGTAGGGGGTGACAGGGACCCAGTCGCACCCCTTCAGTCAAGAGAGGGCCCTGGGGGACCCCAACCCAGCCCCACACAAGGGCGGCTGGTTGGAGAGAGGACCAGAGCCTTCAGTGTCCTGCCCGTGGGGCTCCGGAGGAAGCGGTCCCCAGCAGCTGGGCGCCGGGCTGGGTGGTTGGCGGTAAGGAACTCTCCAGCCTCCAAGGCTTCCCCACCCGCTGCCCGGTTCCCAGGACTCACACCCGAGCCCACAGCCGGGGCCATGCCTGYCCACCTGAGTGGCAAAAAGCTGGCTTACTCGGGGCCCAGACCCCAGGACAGCTAGAGGGGAGGATCTCCATGACTGGCCCCTAAAGCACCCTCTCCTCCTGGCACCTGGCTCCTGGCTCCCCATCCCTACACTTGCTGTGTGACCCTGAGCCAGCCACCTGCCCTCTCAGAGCCTCGGTTCTCCCGTCAGTGCCATGGGAGCAGTGCCCTCCAGGCACAGAGGGCAGATGGCCTGCTGGACCCTGGAGAGCCCACTTGCTGTTCCCCGCTCCCCGTGGGCCAGCGGCTCTGAGTGTCCCACTCCTCCTGGGTGCCCTCCCCCTTGCAGGCAGCGCCTTTTCATGCCCCCCCMCACACACACACTGGGGGTCGCGCACAGCCAGGCTCCTCTGGGCTAGACCAAGACCCCCCAGTCCTGTCCCCGCCCCTGCCCCACCCCTCACCGGCCCCAGCACACCGCCCTCCCCTGCCTCCCACCTGCCGGAGCCCTTGGTGGGTACCTGGTGCCAGGTGGAGGGTCCTTCAGAGGACCCCCTTTCAGGATCTACCCCAGAGGTTCCACCTGGCGCCCGGGTCCTGCCGCCTGCCAAGCMGCGGGCTGGGGAGTGAGCATGGGAGGCGCCGGCCCCTCTCCGGTGGCAGCAGCCGGTGGAGCCAGGGGAGGGGCCGGGGACACCCCCTCCAGCCTCCCGGGCTCCTCCTCCCGAGATGACTGTGTGAGTCACGGGTGTCTCAGAGGAGGCAGGAGGAGAGGCTGAGGGAGGGAGGCAGGGGCCCTGGGGGATGCCCATGACTCAGCACCTGGCAGGGGGCCTCCGCCTCCCCCCAGCACCCAGGAGTGGATGCCAGGCTTCAGTGGGGTCGCGGGCCGGGGTACCTCTGCCTCCCCACCCTGCACCTATCATCCCATTCTCCCCGACTTCCCGCAGGGAGAGGGTTGCCGCGGCAACAGGCCACTCGGATGCTGCCCCCTCCCCCGGGCCCTGGTGACCACTGCCCCTTCCTGAAGACGCGTCCAGCCTCCTTGGCAGCAGGCGGGGGCCGGCGCTGACCRGCAGAGCGGAAGGCAGGCCAGGAGGAAGGCAGGACTCAGGCACCTGGCACAGGGCCACACASCGCTGGCCGCTGACCTCACGGCCTCTCCGGGCCTCCGTGCGTCTTCTCGGCAGAGGAGCACACGGCAGGCTCCCAGGGACCCACAGCTCTGGGGCTCTGAGATCCTAAGWCCCCGGGGCCTTTAGGAATGGCCTCTTCAGTCTGTCTGCCCAGCAGAGGGGAGACGGAGGCACCGGGAAGAGTCCATCCCCATGCCTCCAAATGGTCGGAAAGAGGAATCTAGAAGTGACCAGCGCCCCTGCCCCTCTGGCCACCGTCTCTGTTGGCCGCTCCCTCCTGCTCTGGGGTCCTGAGCCCCTCTAGAWCCTTGGGGGTAGCTTCAGATGACCATGTGCCCTACAGAGTGGGGACCCGTCCGCCTCCATCAGTACAGTGTGGATGAAGGATTCCAAGTCGCCAGTGCGTGAGGGTTTCACCTGCAGGGCAAGGGCAGCCACACAGGGCCAATAAGAAGAAAAATAAATACTCCCTTTACGGAGCCCCACTGCCTTCTAGAACCTTCCTCCTGCTGTCTTCAGGGTACCCACCTGACACTCAATGAGCTGTCAACAAATATTCCCCAGGACAGTGATGAAGCAGAAGGGACTCGAAGCTCACCGAGGAGAGCTAACTGTCCAAGGGCACGCAGCTGGGGAGTGGCGGGGTTGGGTGGGAGCCAGTCCTCCTAGCCACTCGTAAGCCAGCCTCCCTGGGCCTCCGGCATGGGGCCTCGACCCCCCGGGGAAACTCGAGGTCCCTTCTCTCTGGTAGGGGTCTCTCTGCATCCTAGAGAGGGGTCCTGGGAACTCCCCCTGCACCCACATGTGACACAGTGAAAGCCTTTCAGACAGCAGGGGACGGCTGGAGGCCACTCCCCCACCTGCCTGCTCAAAACCAAGCTGCCTRGTGGGGTGCAGGGGGCCACAGGCCAGACCTTCCAGAAGACCATTCTGTGCTCCTCCAAGTCAGAGCCCCGCTGGCCAGGCTGTGGGAGATGCCTGCCCGATGCCGTAGTGGGCACTTGGCCCTGGTCGGCCTGCTCTTCCCACCCAGGGCCTCCACRGGCATGGCCTTATTACCAGGGCAGGCGGGGCCAGTCCACAGTGGGGTGGGGGCACAGCAAACAAGAGGACAGGAATGAGTTACTCAGAGMAGGACAAAAGTCCCTGACATGCCAGGTCTCTGGGCAAGTCGCCACCTCTTAGCCTCAGTGTCCCTGCGGTTAGTTGTTCAGGGCCCAGGCAGCAGGTGGCAGAGGCTCTAGGCCAGCAGCACAGCTGCGTCCCACCTGCCCACAGAGAGCACTGGCCAGCAGGCTCAGAGGGAGAGCTGAAGGCTCCCCTGTCGGTGCCCATGGGCCCCAGAGCCGAGAGGACCAGGTCTCTGCCTGCCCCTCCTACCATCCGGCTTCTCAGACCTACTTTGTGCTGGGCACTGTGCCAGGCTCCGGGCTCTGGCCCCAGCTTGGAGCTTGGCCAGGGTCATGAGCCTCRCTCTCATCCATGGAACCCAGGAGCCAGTTATTAGCTCCAGAAGATCCCTAGAAGGTTCTGCAAGTCAAAGTGGAGAATCCAGATAAATGATTCAATGATTCTATTATTGGTTCTGGTAACAGGRTGAGTCGGAACCTCCCGTGCCGTAAGTATTTGGGTCACTCCYACATCATCACTGCAACCCTGGGACGGGGCATCACTAGTATGTGGAATGAGATGGCCAGAGACAGGCAGWAACTCAGCCAAGGCCACACAGCGGGCACATAYCTGGGCCTCTAGCTGTGTGGCTTCACCCAACCACCTAGCAGGTGTAGGTCCTGGCTACACAATTCATATTCACCATCTCTTTGCCCTTCATGACAGTTGCTAGCCCCACTTTATAGAAAGCAGCCCGAGGCACAGTCAGGGCAGGTGGCCTTCAGTAACAGAGATCCAGGATCTGAAGCAGGGGACTGGCCCCGGAGCCCCTGCAGGCTCTTAAAGGAGGCGAAGAGGACTTTGAAAACCAGAGTAGCAGGAAGGGCATCCCAGGTAGAGCGATCAGATCAACAGGAGTCAAGAGGTGGAAGAGGAGCCACCGGGGAAGAAGGGGGATCTGTTGTGGCAGGAGGGGGCAGATTCTGGAAGACTTGAAAGCATGGAGTTTGGGCACTGGGGAGCCATAGAAGGTGTTTGATCGGCACTCTAAGTGTGGTCCACAGACCCAGAGCAGAGCTGGAGAGCTTGTTGGGGTCTCCGGGTGCCCCAGATCTGCTGAGTCAGAACCTGTAGTTTAACAAGACGCCCAGGTGGGTTCCGGTACCCTGTGAAGCATGAGAAGCCCTAGCCTCGACTCTAGGGGCCAGTACCAGCCTTAGTTGGGGGCGGAGCCCAGGCCCAGCTGGGGCCTTAAAGAAGATGGAGCCAGAGGGAAGGGTGGGAGGGGACTCGGGTCCAGGAGACCAGAAGCAGCCCACCCAGGACAGCGGGCCTGAGGGAGAGGGGAGAAGATGTCAGAYGCTTCCCTGAAGCTTAGGGGTGCGGGAAGGGAGCAGGCATGGGAGGAGCTGCCCGTGGGCACCTGGAATGAGCGTGACCTGCAGCATGTGGGGTGTCATGTGTACCCCCAGCTGGAAACGCCTTGCTGGGGCTCAGCAGTGACAAACTAGGGGTTCCACAGGCCCAGGGAAGGGCAGGGGCATTGCTGGCTGGGGACAGAGGTCAGRGGTAGGGCGGGAGGCCCAGAAAGCCCAAGGGGCCCCTTCCTCTTAGAGACGGAGGAGAGGGGCAGTGAGGGAGCTGGCTTCCGCTCCGCTCTGCCAGCTGGGGACCCGGGCAAGCGTCTSTGTCCCCACCCAGCCCTCATTTGTCAAGAGAGGACAAAAGCAGAGCCACATCATGCCCCCCCCACACAAGTCCACACGGGTAAAGGGCACGCCTCGGCCTGCGCAGAATGGGCACCTGGATGAGGCCCGCCAGGGAGCCACCGTTCAGAGCAGCCTGCAAAGGTGACAGAGACGGGCTCCCAGGGAGGGTGGGGAGGTGGACCCCAGGACAGAATAAGAGGTAGGGTGACCCTGGCCACMGACTGTGACTAAGGCCCGAGCAGAGGCTGGGTGAGGAGGAGACGTGGCGGGGTTGTAAGAGGTCTCCTGCCAAGGTACATTGGAGCCACCTTGCCCACCCCTGCAGAGGRTCCTGGGCAGCACCACTTGCTCGGGAGTGGGCTTTATCAGACAAGAGGAGCTCAAAACCAGGCTTCTCCTCTCGAAAGCTGAATGACCTTGGGGATCCTTGAGCTCCCTGCCTGGCACCCAGCAGGTTTCGAGACATGTTGGCCCATGTCATCAGCATCCTAGTCAGCACAAGTGTCACAGACCTGCACTCCACCATTGGCAGAGCATCCGGTACCTCCGCCACAAAGCAGTGATGATCAGAGCTACAGAACAGCGAGGGACTCTGAGAGAGGACCTCCCTGCACCACGCAGCAATCAGCCTGGGACCCAGACTGGCTCTAGCCCCCTCCCTGTCCCTCCGTTCCCGTGGGAAAGCCTCCAGGCCAGGAGCGTGGGGGCCGCCGCAGCCCWGTGATAACTCCATCTCCGTCATGCCCGCCCCAGGGACCAGCAGCGATGGCAATGCCCATGTGACTCAGCCACCCTCACAAAGCACCCTGTGTGCCYTGGGCCTACCTACCCCACCCATGGCCCATCCCCCACTCCCCAGCAGAGGGTGGTGGAGCAGGTCGTCTGGGACATCCAGCTGTGGAGAGCCAGAGCCACCCTGTGCCCAGGTTAGTGGAGATTCAAGCCCAGGCTTGGGGTGCAAGGAGTCCAWGCCAGCTCAAGTGATGGAATGAAAGGCATGGCAACCAGGGGGACTTTGCCCGGGTCCAGACTGTCTTCTGAAGAGACCTTATTTGGAGCTCCAGGGCCACTCCAGCACACTGGCTAATCAGAGTGCAGCTGGCCAGCTGCCCCGCCCACATTTACCTGCATCGGGTTTCAAAACACAGGGACTCAGGCAAGAGGCACTTCCCCAAAGCCAGAGGGCCCTTGTCCACACCTGGTCACAGCACAGTCCTGTCTCCACCCCTGCCCCTAAAAGTTCCAGGGAGCCCAGGGACCCCATTGCACTCCTGTCCTGGGCCGGGAAAGGGACTTGCACTCTCTCCCRCTGACCTGCTGAGGAGGCCCAGCCCCATTTGCCGGGGGAGAAACTCAGGCTCAGAGAGGGAGAGAGGCCAGCCCAAGGTCTTGGAGGACTGGAGCCGGGATCTGACCTCAAGGCCTGCTTCCCTCGCCCCCAGTACCTCTTCCTGGTCCCAGGGGCGCCTTGACCACCTGCCAATAAGAATTAACCTTGAGCCTGGTGCACACAGAAGCAGAGGGACACACTTTCTCCCCCACGGTCAAGCCCTGCTGCGAGGGGCCATTCCAGAACACAGTTGCTTAGACTGAGTTCAGCCTGGCTGGGCCTCCGAGGGCTGCCCCACCCCACTGACCTCCCCAGGAGGTGGGCACGCCTGGGTGCTTGGGTGCCCAGCTGCCCCAGACAGAAGGTAGACGGGGCCATGGCCTGCTCCTCCTAGGCATGACGGAATGTCTGACCCTCAGCCCCCTAACAGCACTTGGCAGGAGGTTGGATCCAGCTAGAACAGGCCTGGAAGGTTATTCTGGCCATGCCCCTGCCTCTCAGCCTCCAAAAATCCCTAAGCCCAGGGCCAAAGCAGGTGATCCCAAACAAGCCCTCTCCTCACCCCCGTCATGTGCCTACCGGCCTGGGCCCCTCTTCCCATGTGCAAAGATGGTGTGCAGGGCTGGGTGTGCAAAGGCCTGGGGTCCTCCAGGGAGACGCCACCCACCTC